GTACAAAGGAGTTTGTTAGACAAAACAACATCTATAAATAGAGACACAACACAACATGAAACACACTGCATATGAATATAGTAATAAAAAAAAATTAAGAATTTGGATGAATGTACAACACCATTGAGTGATGATACCACATACTATAAAACGCGGGAATGGTCAAGTTTAAAGGGTGTGTACATATATGGTATGCACCACTCAAGGGCGATAGTGTTAAAAGTGGTCTATGGCTGTTCTGGCCAAAATGTGACCCTACAAGTTTTGGTGAAATATGATAAAGTTATGTATCAAATTACTCACTATTGTAAAGTTTTTTTGAAATTCTGGATTCAGCCAAAAACGAAGTTTCAAAAAAAAAATTAATAAAAAGCATTTCCACAAAACCTATTATGGTTGCATTTCAGCCAGAAGATTAGAAAGGTATAAAGGTACAGTGGGATAGGGAATGATAAGTTATAAAGAGAAGCCATTTTACCATGTCATGGATTTTCCAATGTAAATTAAAATAATAAAATTATATGGTATCCTGGGATGAGCAGAAGAAAAAGTGTGATTTGGTGATTAGGTAGCAACAATGGAAATAAATTGAACAGCATGCTACTCAAACAAAAACCATTGTCCCTACTTCCTACTATTTGTGCATTGAAGTTCTATTGTATTGTACTATCTATAACCTAAATTGCTGTGCTTTTGTCTTTGTCTAATTACGCATGAAAATGAAATTAGAATGGTGTGCTAGTTATTAATTCAGTTCATTGTTCTATATTGAATCCGGGTGAAGTATCATGTGGAGTTATTGAAATTGTCAGCTGGTCTATGGTGACTGAAGAGGAGGACAGTTTCCTGATAGTTCATTCAATTCAAATAATCAACAACTCTCCCTTTCAGTGTTGAATTCACCTTAAAAAAAAAATAATCTCCAAACAGTAACATGTTCAAAGCAGAGAAAATTGCTAATATAATGATAATATATATTGTTTAAGTTTGGAACAAAATTCTGAGTTCGATTTTGAATTTTTGATGTCATCGGGTAGGGAATTCCAAGCTTTTGGTCCACATACTGCGATTGATTCTTGTGAAATACTTTTACTGACAAATGGAATAAAAAAATTATCTTTATTTCTGCTGTTTGAATTTGGGTTTGCTTGGAACAGGCTGTTCAGGCTGGACGGAAGCTCTCCAATGTGACAAGAGAACAGCATAGTACATAGTTCGAATTTAGCTAGATCCACAACTCGTAGTAGCCTATGCTCTTTAAATAAGTCATCAGTTTTTTTGCGATTACCTCTATGAAAAACTCTTCTAATAAAGCGATTGCAAACACTTTGAATTTTTTTGAGAATGGACGATTGGCGATGAACATAAGCTGAGGCACAATAACGAATATGGCTTTCTATCAGAGAGTGGTATAGAGAATAGAGATATTAAACAAGATGTATTTAAGTTGTTGGCTATTTTCGTAATGGCACTAAGAGACGACCTTGTTTTCGATAGAACCATATTGGTGTGTTGTTTCCAAGACAATTTATCATCGATCGTTACACCCAGAAAGCGAGTCTGATTAACTCTTTCTATATTTATTCCATTCAATTTCAAATGTTGTGGCAGTGTTGGACACTTTTGCTTCGGCGTGCTAAATACCATATATTTAGTTTTATCGACATTAGAATAGTGAGTTTGTTCGCAGGCAACTAAGCTTGAATATTGCCCGCGATTTGGACCACCCTGATAATATATATAACAACAACAAGATAGCAATGCTCAAATAGCTACAGTATGTTGAAGCGAAAGTCGAACGACTACCCGCAGTACCAGTAACATTTGCGATTACACAAAAATTTGTTATCATTCAAAAGCTTCATATCAAAATTGCAAACCAAATCCCCGTACCGTAGTGACTGACATCGGTACTGGTACGGTCGTAGCTTAGCATTTAGCACTGTAATCCGTAATCTGATCTATCAGAGGCTTCAAATCGAAATTGCAATCAAGTCCCGCTAACGCAGCAATTCACATCAGTACCGGTGAGATCGCAGCTGAGCAGTGAGCACCGGCTGTCACGTACTAAAGTCCGTGTTTGAGATTGTGTGTATATATATTTTTATGTTTATAGACTGTTATGTTGACCCTTATTCAATGCTGTTTTGTCGGATTTGGACTTCGACCACTCACTACATGTGAGTTAAAAACTGTCTTTCGATCTCTTTCCTCCGAACGCCGTGATGGCGGGCGGTCGTGTTTTCAGTTCTTTAGTGATGTAATCTGTTATGCTTTTTTAAGTTCGATATGGGTGTTGCTGTACAATAAACAACCAATCCGGAACCTTTGAGCTTCTGATTCATCTACAACCACGGTAGCAACAGCAACATCTTCTACCGTGACACGGCTTTGTCGGAAAGATGACGGACTGCTCTGACGCAATACCGCAAATACGTCAAAATAGGAAAATTCTGGGTTTAATATTTGAATACAAAGGAATCAGAGAAATTTGAATAAAATATTTCGACAGATCAATTTAGAACGAAACACGCTAAAGAGACATCGTTGTCCGGCTGCGAAGGTGAACCTATTTTAACTGTAGATTACTGTACGTAACATAACACAGATTATTATTCTAAATAGTCTTTCAACGCTTTCTGAGACATATCTCATAAATATAAAGTTTTTGTCAGCAGAGTTAGGTAGGGATGGCGTATGTTCGAGTCCAAGTCACTTCTCGAAGTTACTTATGCAAACATTTGTGCCTCGTCATGATTGACATTCATAATTTTTACATACACATTATATCGTCAAACAATTGATTGTCAATACCTGGGCGCGGGCACGCAACATAAATCTCTATTTATATCGATCATATATTTGCCGATCGGTGAAGTGGGTGATAGCGAACCGTGATCTACCATGTCATCAAGTAATGCAAAATTATTATATTGAAAAAATTGATGATAGACCTAACCTCCAATCAATCTGCTAATTAGTGACCTTTATATTGTAGTATATCGGTATGCAACAATGCTGCTATAACGCTTATACCATAACGATACAATCGGGTCTGTCTATTTCTAGCAACTTGTCATCCTTGGGAAGGTTCCTTAATTCTTTCCCCCTAATTTGGCACAATAGTACAAGATTTCATGAACTTAAATTGACGACTACAGAAATCTAACTTAATAGTGGAACAGGATAGTAGAGACTTTCGATGTGGTTGGAAGCGGATCAGAATAAAACTCTCTCAGAGTAGAACACTCTTCTAACCGCTTTTTAAACCTTGAAAGATATGCCGTTGCATTATAAACATTTTCCCGTGGCTTATATGCATGCCAATCTGTGTTTTCCTGCGTGAGTTTCATGGGAGTAGCCTACCGGAAATTTTTTCAGTCCCGATGCAGGTGCTACATGTGTGAAATTCGAAACTCTAAAATACCAACCAACATATATAAGACTTTGTAAAAAATGCGAAATCATGTTTCAATAGATGCAGACATTGATTAAATACCTGTGACCCAGAGTCATGGTCGGATTTAGACTATGATGGGCCATAAGCTAAGCCTATTGTGAGGCCCCCCTTTAACAATAACGTCATTTGGCTTCGTAAACTCAACTATGGCGTCATAAGAGTCTGTTGCAGTAAAATGTATTATGCTGTCATAAATAAATTTTCGATTGTGTAAAATACGAAGTTCGTGTTACAGACAAGATACGTGCGTCAATCACCTATAATTAGATTGAATATATATTAAGATGAATTAAACGGCACTCTAACAAACTCAAGTCTGTAATAGAACGTCATGTTACCCGTTTTTAGCTGGCTTGTCCATGGAATGGAACAGCACACATTGACATTTGTATTTCCCATTGGACACGAAAACCGTATGATTTTCAGGAAAATTATGGTAAAACATTTCGTTATAGCTTTCGTGTCCATTAATTTGAGCATAGCTCTCCTGTTAGTTATAAAGAGCAAAATATATTCAGCCTTAACAATATACATCGTGAAGGGGCTGATGAACACATGCATAAAAGTTGTGAATATAAATGTAACGAAGTCGGTAAATTTTGTTGTGTTGCATGTCTCTTTGTACATGCAGTCCTGTTTAGTAGACGCTAAACCTAAATTTAACATTTTTTATTGAATTTTATTCCAATAGGATTCACATGGGATGGAACAGGTATAACTGCTATGGGATGGGAATGGGATAGAAAAATATGTTCGATGGACAAGCCTGGTTTTCAGCCCCAAGAGTTGAGGGAAAGGGGGAGCATTGCCCAATTACTGCTAAATAAAATGATCATTCCTTTTTTGAAATATTGAAAAATATAATAATTTTCAGGTGAATTAGTCTGGGCAAACCCTTGAAAAATTGTCGCCATCCCAAGCTTTTCGGGTATTCCAGAAAGGCCTCATTTATGTTCGTATGCGATTCCATGCATACAGATTTGTAGCATAACTGTGTTAAATATAATTAGTGTTTAAAATTTGTTCAACGCAAGATTGATCTCACGTGTTAGTAACCGATTTACAGTTGTGCCCAAACTAATTTTAGCTGCTGTCGCCGTTTTTGGCTGTGTAAAATAAATCATTGTATATAAATATAAATTATGCTAACTAATAGAGGTTCTCTTTTAAACGCTGTGGGCATTCAAGCAGTTCAGATTTTGCCTATATACAGTGCAATGTCGCATATGTGGTTGCTGTTGCTCAGTTGTCAACATAAAAGATGAATTCCTGTCCGGCGGTAAAATGGGAAATTACCATTACGGTTGAATAAACAAAGAATCGAATTAGGAGCAATGAGAATGCAACTTAGTTAAACACATAAACTTCTTCAAAATAATTGTGGTAACGGAAAAACTCGAACAAGACCTCTTTTTGTCTAATCTCCGGACCATCAGACCGTATTAGCCTGACACGGTGCTTTCTATGCTGTAACTGATATTTATAATATCGCTAAATAAATAACCCAACACAATGAAATCTGTTTATAAAAGTGTCTATGTACTTTAAACAATAATACTTGTATATTTATAAGATATAAAATGCTGAACATGGTATAGCGATGCACAAATGCTGATAAATGTTAAATTTTCACATAATATCACTAAATATAACGCAAAAAATAGAAAATATGTTGTACAAACGCTGTAACTCATAGACAAAAATATTTTGATTATTTTAACGCTTACACGAGACAGTTACACACAGATTAATAAACGTTATTTAATTAAGGGAATGTCTATTACAACAGAAGTAAATATTTTTTCCAACAGTGAATCATCCATTTCAAGATAATATGCACTTTATTAGAAAAGAAAAGAATTTCTCACAAAAACTTGAACAAGACATGGTGATGCACATAATGTGCAAATAAAATGTCCAATTTTTAAATAGAATCACTAAATATAGCTTGAAAAATAGAAAATATGTTGTACAAACACTGTAACTCATAGCAAAAATATTTTCATCACTTCACCGCTGACACCAAACAGTTACAAACGGATTAATAAATGTTATTTAAAAGGAATGTCTATTACATCAGAATAAAATACTTTTTCCAACAGTGAATCATCTATTTCAAGATAATATGCACTTTATCAGAACAGATAGTCTTTTTTACAAATAGTTGATAGCGATGCACATATGCAGATAAAATGTCACATTTTCACATAATACCACTAAATATAGCGCGAAAAATAGAAAACATATTGTACAAACCATGTAACTCGTAGACAAAAATATTCTGATTACTTTAACCCGGACATTAGACAGTACAAATACGTTAATAAATGGTATTTAAAGGAATGTCTATTACAAAAAAATATTTTTTTCCAAGAGTGAATCAATTATTTCAAGGCAATGCATTAAAAATCATATACAGAGTGGGCCAAATGAGGGTTGACAGTTAATAAATGAATTGATTAGGAATAAATGTCACCCTAGTTTAGGCTAACCCTGTATAGGCATTTTATTAGAACAGTAAGAATTTTTACAAAAAGTTGTCAATAAAATTCCAAATCATCAACGGCATCCATTTTGTTAGAACAGAAGCCAGCAATTGGCAAAGTGTATATGCATAACATGTATTTTGAATATAAAGTAATAAAATTCGTGATCATCCCTATATGGGACCGGATGGTTTTCTCCGGTTCAATTTCAATCTGATAATTTATTAGAAAGGAATACCTGTTTCTTTTGAAAATTTATTCCCAGTTCTGAAATTATCCACAAGTGAACACCACATTGCCCCTTTGACCCAATAATGCGATTTCATTTTTTTTCTGAAATTTTTTATATATTTTTCGCGCTGCATTGTATCAAACGTTGGTTGGACGACTAGCGTGTGGTGTAGGAAGTTTCAGACGGGATGAATTAAGCAATTAAAATTAATGCTAATCCGGCAATATTACTTGAGATCAAATATTGCTTATTAAATTGTCTATTTAATTTGATTCGTCAATAAATATACCTTGTACTTTTTGTCAAACCTTGTTCCGAGAAATAATCATGCTATGGTGTATATTTATTTAATCGCGTTTTAGCTGTCTGTATTGTTGGGTATCGATTCTTGGAAATTGTAATATTTGGGAACCGGTTGCTAGGATTAGATCATAGTTACGATTAATAAAGTTTCATTTATAATATATTCGGTTGTACTACCTTATATATTTAGGTGGTATTCCGTAGAATTTTCATCATATATCTTACCTGAAATCTTGATTGAGTTCTCTCTAAAAGGAACCATTTTTTACATAACTACTTAATGCAACATTGCATATATATACAGGCTGACGCTCAAAAAACCGAACCCAGGCCATTTGGAAACTTTTGCGGACAATCACACACTAACAAAAACTCAAGTGTGAAAGAACCATTTTGTAGAAGTAATTAAAAAGTTCGTGGGTTCTTTCGCGTGGATTCCATCAATTTTACTTTTATTATCAAGCACAATGAGCTTTTGTCTCCGCTTCACTGTAAATATACGTAGTCAAACTTATATATATATACCTTTTACATCAACAATATGAATCAGTTCTTTTGTCTGTCTAGATTCTAGAAGAATATCCCAATTAATCCGGAGACCTAAACATTTCTGCATTTTCGTTTTCTTCTATGTCTCCGACTAATGCGATGTTGCTCTTCTGCGTTTGGAACTTCATCGAGTCGAACGCATTTGCACGCTACATCAACAGTTTCAGTCCACTCTATTTTTACGTCGTCAAATCTGGCCACAAATGTCATTTTTATTGAAACAGGTTCTGGCTGGTAACTACTTTTCGGCAAAATTTCCAAGGTTATTGGGTCTTGACAGAATTCGTTACATGTAACGAATATGAATGTACCCGGAATTAAATTAGATAAACAGTTGACAGTAGATATGTTGTATGGAGCAAATCCATTGTTGTTTTCCTCGGCATGTTGAACTTCACAGCCAGATTCCAAAAAGTACTTTGAATACAGATCTATGGCTGATGATGTTTTACAGATCCCAGCGAACACAAGCAGAAACAGGACTTGTCTTGAAGACCATGTGTTCATTTTATGGTTCCAAGCTGCTGCTGTTTTTTTGAACTACTAAGTATTCCTTTCCTGAGCCTCCCGCATATCCGACTTTGTTTAATTCCCCACTGGGTAACATCCGATTCATTCGTTGTTTGTGTTTGGTAAAATTTCTCCGCAGGTGTTCCTGAAATATCATTCGGTCCCACTTCTCGTCGTTTGTTCTTCATGAAACCCTTTCGAAATAAAAAGTAAAATCTTTGCATTGTCATTTAAGCCGGCGGCAATATCTTATTTCTGACGATACTTGAACTGAAACAAGAATAAAATTGATTATAATACAAAAATATCTCAGAATGTTCAAAGACATCCAGTCTAAAACGAAACGAGTGTTTAACCGAGTGATAACAATTTGTAATTCTATATGATATTGGCACAGGAGGCTGGAAATACCCAGACAAAAACATTGTACAATTTCCCCGTCAAATATTAGCAAATAATAAAAATAAATAAACTTAATATCAACATTTTTTTTATCTTTCGGTAAATGAACCTATTTTTGAACTATGGATAACAACAAATCATATATGAATAGAACTCTCATAGCATGTTATCTCCAATACCAATCTGCCACAACGTAGCTATTGTGCTGTTTCGAATATTTTAACGAGTTTTGAAATAATTACAAATCAACGTGGTTCTATTCAATGTTGAAGATTTTATTTCAAATATTAACAAAGTCATTTTTGGAAACAAAGAAAATAGGTTAGATAAATCAGTATTGTAGAATAAAAGAATCTTCCGACATCTTACTGAAACTGTGGCCACCATTTTATAAGGAACTGCGGTGATTATTATTTCTGTCTGCGGTTCAGCCTTAATGTCAGGCGGCGACAAGCGCTTCATAAAACCGGGGGTTATGACAGCAAAATATAAATCATTGCAACTATTAGTATTAAAATACTAATTTTAAATAATATTGTATATTCCTTGTATTCGGATATAATGACAATATTGCGTGTATATCGTAAAAATGGCAATTTTTCGAATAACAAGAAGCACAACTCTATTCTAAATAAGAATAGCAAAGTGACATTTGTTTTCAATATCTTGTTTATATTTAAGTCGACTTCAAGCCTGTTTATATGGCATTAACCTTCAATGTTTACAAGAAAATTCTATAAAAAGGCGAGGCAACTATTATGTTTATGTTTCATGGTAAATCGAAGTCGAGGAAAAATGTGACAATGAACAACGTGTTGTTCTACCTGGAAATGTAATGGATTTACAAGAATAGGGACGTCTGAGAAAAGTAAGACTCAAATTATTTTTCAAATGAATTTTGAATCTTATTAATTTGAAATGGATATGATATTGAGCATAATGTATTTTTATTGAATCAAAAAATATTAAACATCCATGTATAGGCACCATATACAACCATAGTGATTGATTTCAAAATTTGCAATTTTTTGAGTGAAACCAACAAAAAAAAATTTACTCAGAAAAAAGTAGGCCAGTAACTTATGTCAGACGATTTCATATAAAAATACTCTAAACTGTCGAAAATAAATATTCTTGAAACTGATTGAAACAAAAAAAGAAAATCTAATATTTAAAAAAATTGAAAAAAAAAATGAAGTCGTTGGCCATGAAAAAAAAAAGGTCTCAGGGATTTTTCACTCCAAAAATAAATACTTTCCATCGTTTTATCTGCGTTTGTTTATTTAGTAGCATCTATTTTGGTATTGAGTATTTTTAACAATTCATTCCGCAAAATCAGAATAAATTCATCAATATGCTTTAAAAATTACAACGCTCAAAGATAGATAAAGTTCTAATAAATGCTGCTCTTGATCTCAGAACCTAAGCGCCAACATTAGATATAATCCAACGATGACCGTACATTCGAACCCACGTACATTTGAACCAATGTGTATGTATGTCCGCGTGTTCAATCTATATGCGGGTGCTAAAACCCATGGGTTAGGGTTAGTATGGGTTCAAATATCAAAACAAAAAAAATTTCCATAGGTGCAATAGTATGCAGGTGCAATTGTCGTGGGTTCAAATGTAAGTGGATTCAAATGTACGGAAACCATAATCCAGCATATGCATCATTTAATTATATTCTTAAACGAAGAAAGGGGGGACTTTTAATTTTTTTTTAAAAATATAAAGAAGCATGATGAAGATTCATATCTCTCTCTTCTTTTTGGTTGCGACTATGCTATTGCTATAATCGTGCAGCATTTCGCCGTAGCGGATTACTTTGAATGACATATCGCCGTATCAGTCTGAAACTAGTGGTTTAAAATTGGTGGAAAAATCGAAACTTTATAAAATATGATACGCAAAGGTCATTCTATTTCTGTTCTGTTAATAATGGGTTTTGTATGCTCGATTCTTTTCTTTTAATATGCTTGCCTAATACGAAATGCGGTTCATGAAAGTTCACAATAAATCATATGCAAACACTGCAAATAAAGTAAAAATACGTTTTCAATATCAAAACATTCACCTTCAAGTGTAAAACTACCGTAATTTAACTAATTTTGAAAACTCATTACATAGATGATACTAGCACATGAGTAATCGTCAGCACTCGTAAAGCGTGAACCACTGATATCTATCTCACTGAACACGTGAGCCAGTGTACCAATTTCTCAACCTCCAGAAATGGCTCAAAATGTACACCTGCATTATGGGTAATTCTGCAGGAGTCGTGTGCAAATTGTACAAGAGCCATTTGCGCAAGTGTCACAACATATTCAGCATTGCTTATATCGCTTAGTCCATCATTTGTTCCGCGTTTTTTCCTCTGCACCCGCAATTAATAGAGGTTGTGTTTTTATCATACGAGAATTGCAATTTTGGTGTCACTTGCTTTTCATTAATCTAATTTCTTACCAGAGTATGTCAAAGAGTTTTCTGATGCGCTAATTTTCAAGTATGGGGCAATAGTTCATCTCGTTGTCAAGTGGCTGTACAAATAATACGGGAAAAGTCGTTAAGAGGGAAACGAGACTAAAGTTTCTTTCCAGGGGATTCCCCGTGTGTGGAAACCGTCGCGGTTTGTTAAACGACGAAACAAAACTTCAATTTCTTTCGGAAATTAGAAAATTCAAGCAGACTTGCCAAATTCTGACGTAGCTTACACTAGAATTTGTGCGAAAAGTGCAATCGTTAGAAATCTTGGTTATTGTTTTGAGAAAAAGTCATACATTTGCTTAAATTTTACCCGATGACGACTGATTTACACAGTCTAATTCAGGGTAAAACACATATTCATGCACATCTGGTAAGGAGCAAAAAATAAAGTTTAGCTAAACTAGCCGTGGAAGCTAAATTACTCAGCTTGTGTCATATCAGTTGAGTTTGGATATATATATTTGCCATTTTACATAGCGGCTCCTATTTTACATGGGCATCGACCTCTTTTAGATTAGTCATTTTCGTTCATCGTTAAATCTATCAAAATAGAGTTAGGATTTATCTAAAGCAATAAATGAATTTAAAAATGCGTATTCAGTAGGGATAAATGCAAAACGATTGAAAAAAGCTAGATTTTAAAGCTACAATGAATTTCGAGAAAGATGTAATTCACAACTTGCTTTTTTATTGTGACGTAATTTTATAAATTGTTACTCAGTGCCAATCATGCCACGAATGATCTTCAAATAAACAGAACAATGATTACGACTTTGTCTATCCTGATCTCTTTTGGAATTGAAATATCCTAATATTCGATCTTGAAGATACTCGGTGGAAATTGGTTTAAGTTAACCTACTCCGAATTTTTCGCGAATATATTCTGAACGTAATATGATATAATATTATGCTCTATGACGTTGATAAATCAACACCATAATTTCACGCACACTTACTTGCGCAATGAATTGTTTATAAGGGACTATCCTTACGCAATCTCACAAGTGAAACAGGAGTCAAATTTCCATTCCCTCGGCCATCATACCGCTTTCGCGATAGTATGAAAAAATTAAGCAAATGTAGCATTTTGAAAAACACATGCAACGCATTCTACTGTATTACACTATCATTTTCATAATTAAGAACAACTGTAAACAGCATATTCGTACTGCGTGCAAATTTTGTAGATAATAGAAATTCTCAAGGTGCAACATGATTACTTACTAACGGATAACGAGCTATTATATAGTAAATGTGCAGTGTTTATAGTAAAAAAATCAAAATAATTTTATTAAAAATAATTTGGACGCGTAAAACTAGTCCACTTTAATTAATAAATCTCAGAGGCCACGATGTTTTGAACTTTTGATTGTATGGATAATCCACGCCCGTGCACTCACGTTCAAATTTAGGGAGTTTCAAAGCTTGGTCAGACGAAACGTTACAGAAATATATTTGTGTTAGTGTGTAGCAAGACTATGTAATTACTTAGGATAGTTATCTTCACTCTTGTTACAGCATCCTTGTATTATATCCATATACGAATCCACCGGCGCAACTGTATAGGAGACGAAGAAGTAGTTAGTCTCGTAGAAACCCAATCGATAGCACAAATGAAACTAATACTCAATCTGCACTGAATTAGTCCAATATCAGCATAGTCATTGCTTAGCTTATAAATTTTTTTTTTTATAAAATATTTATTCTCGATCGGAGAATCAACGTAGCTCTTGATCTATTTATCTATTTTCTATAAAACACAGAGCATAGTGGTGATCTTGCTTGCAATGTTCACGAACATGTGTGTATCTGGTGATGGGCGCCATTTTGTTATTACGTATACAAATGTTTTATATACATAACGGGTTAATGGTTGTACGCAGTAACCCTCAAGCGTACATTTAGGCCGAGTGTCGTGAGAGGTAGAACGCTAGAATAATGATTCTCCTTGTTTAAAACCAAAAAAAAAGACAACAAACAAGATCTATGGCAGATAATTTTCTCTTTCAAAGCTATTTTTTTTTGAACGGTTATCACGCGATCGATTTGAATACAAGGAAAAATCATTTATTTTCACAACAAACTTTTTTAACTGAACTCTTTTAAAACATTATAAATAATCTATCAAGGGTGAAAATCTTTTTGAATTCAAAAATATTTTATCAGGATTGAATCGTTGATCGTTTTTTTTTTGCAAAAATACTGGATTCCTTTTAGGTTAAATTAATATTTAATTAAACTTCATAATTTTTGGGGAAACTTTTCGTGATATTGATTAAAATTAGTAAGTCACTGTAGGTAACATGGACGTTGTCAGCAGCAAACGCACAAATGTATGTATATACTGGTATTTTCTGGACATTCAAGTATATCACACGCCTACTCGTTTCTTTAGATATTTCGCGAGTTGTTTTGTATTGCTTTTTCTGAATAACTCACCATAATAACTATATCAAAATGAATCATTCAGTTTGACTTACCCTCATTTTATAACGCATTATTACGGAAACGCCGAGTCTCGAGATTTTCACTGATTAGCTTGCAACGTGCAACTTGACGGCATGCAACTCCTCTCACACTGGAACGGATTAAATCGACTTCGTGAAATTGCGTGCTAGTGTTTGTCAATACTCTTAACCCTTAACTGGCATCTATGTCAAACGAAATATTTCATTAGCATTGCAATTCACTGAAATAAAGTATTGTTCTTCTTCTATAGAGACAGGACACAACTTTTAGATTATTCAACACTGCGCGGACTGCAGCGACTTTCATGCTCTCTGCAAAATGAAGTTATTCCCGTTGAGTGATCGGATGTTGATCTGCCGCTTTGCCTTTTTCTCTGTTTGCGTTATTTTTTCACGCAAATATGATTGGTGGATTTTTTATTTAATAGTAATACTAAAATTCAAATTATATGCCGTCGTTTTGAAACCGTATAATTCTTTTTATTTCCGAGTAATATGTCGTAAAATATACTTCGTATCCAAATGTGCAAATTTAGAATGGTCTATATTTTTATTACTCTGAGCAAAATATGTATACGACTGCTTGCTATGATTTATTCAAATATTTCTCAATTGCAATATATTTTGGTATATAATTTATGCAGTGCTGTCAGGTGTCGTTGACGAGATTGCTGCGAGTGGAAATACATTTTTATATATAGTTGTTCTGCAAAATTTTGATTTGATTTCCCGATACGAGGTCACTGGATTGGAGTTAAAGTTAACAGAGAAGCTTTTCCGATGTTCATGCACTCGTTGTCAGGCATTTACTGGTTATTTAACTCGAACTTTAGAGCGAGCTAAGAAATGCTATCTGGTTTGGTTGGATTCACATTCTAACATGGCCAATAAACATTATTAAATATGTATAAAAATGGAATACATGAAACAAGTTGTGCTGTAATATAACAAGAAAAATAAATCTCCATTTACCTGCGGAATTGTTAATTTTTTCAAGCGAAAACTTTACTGTGTATTGACCTATGATGTCCGAAAATAGATGTAAAATAATCAATTCATGAGCTTAGAAGTAATATCTCATTCCAATTCATTTCGTAGAAATCAGCTAAGATACCTGGAACACGACGCTCTATACAATGAGAACGTGTATTTCCTAATATACTTATGTTTCTTTGAAACAAATACCGTTTTAAAATCGTACTTCGTCTGAGACGAATTAATAGCCAGTTCTTGGTACTGTGTACACTGGACAAACAGTCTTCGTGGTTAGTTAACTATATTGTATTTCTATATTGTCATACTAATATTTAAATTCTTAGGTATGACGAAATTTCAAACCAAATTGACATGTCTCCATTTTGTCAAGAGTTTCTTTTATCAGCACCTTTCTTTCCGCCCATTCTTGAGTATACAATGACGCAAGTGGCAGTTACGGACGGTCTTTCGACGGTCAATTATAGGATGGGCATCCCACAGTCGGTACTTATCAATATCGATCATTGGCCAGAGATGTAAGAATCAATAACCATAATTTCACGTCATGTTTGAAAAATTAAGCATTTTAACGCAGCCTTCTATGGAGCGTTGATCGAAATTACAGCTAAAATGCGGTCCAGGCATGGACAGGCATCGAATTTATTTTATACATAATTGCACATAAAAGCAAGGTAATTTTTAACATATAACATACATTCATGTATTATATTACCATTCATAGGCGAGGTCGAGAAAAGCTTTTTAGTTAGGCTGTACAAAATTTATCTATAAGCTAAATGCGATGGAGTCAGTGGGACTGGGCTTTTCGAATCTAATTGAATAGTAAATTATTCGAATCGGTTCAGACGAAAATTTCGAATAGCCGCCATCTTGTTTTTTATGTGGCCGCCAAAGGTCGGGATTCCCTAATTGTTAAAGAATAATTGAAGCAATATTTTTACAGTGGAATTCTGACATATGACTCTTCTTTCTAGTGAGTTTTAATGAAACATATTTCTTATTGTTGGTGAACGCACACTGGCTGAGTGATGGATTCCACGTTTACAACAAATTTTGTGCCTGAAAGACCCATCACAATAAAAAAGTCACATAAGGTTGAAAAAATATTCGATTCTAAAATTATCAGGTATTCGAAAATGCCAGCCCTTGGTGCGAGTTTGCTGTCGCGCGAGACCGTCCTCCACTCGTAAACTATGTTTTTCGACAGGAAGAAAAAGACGCTGTGAACGAATTAGAATGTGTGCGTTTGGATGCATCCTTCTTTGAAAGAGCACAAATATAAAAAAAGAACATATTCCGTTTCTAAACTGTAATAAAAGATAATTTGCGGCAACGAGCAAAGACATACACACCAGAAGGTAATTTTGCATCAGCTATATTTCTACCTGCTTTGGACTGTTTAGAAAATTGTTGTGATTACGAAAACTATTTTTCATTTCAACTTACTTTAAACGAACTACTTTTTGCTTTACTAATATAGTCTTGTATCGGTACTCCTGAAGTATGCGCACCAAGATGTCGCATAACCTGAACCCTAACCTGGTACACAACCTGACTTCAGGTTGATGTGGCGTGGGTTTGTTTGCCTTGTCAGTGATTTCTTCAACGAGAGTTCAACAAACGGTGGATGACGAAACCCGTACATCGCATATATCGAGGATTGGCAACCCGGGCTATTATTCTCCCGGTTCAATGTTGTACAAACATGTGGCATAAGTACTAGAACACAACTGTAAGACGGTAGATTTTTTCTGGTCATTAATGACAACCTAGCAGCATTGTGTATACAATGGCGCTTTTATTGCTAAGCACACAGGCTGAATGTAAACTGTATTTGCAATGCGGTATTGATACTTTAAAAAGCATATCAAATCAGACTTGTTTTATAAAATATTTATCTGTTAGTCGTGTACAACACAATAAAGATTTCAAACATGACTAACTTAATATTATCTGAGAACCGAAAACTTTGAGTAAATATAGATAGTTTGCTTTTTAGTTTCGATTTGCTTGCTTAATTGTATGTATGATGAAATAACATAACCTTTGACTAAATATATATTTTTGATACAACGTGTACCATGTTGAACCTTCTTACAAATTGGATCTTTATCCTTATCTTTATCACCCCAACCAGTATTTTGTAACCTCAATGGAAAGCAAAAAACATAACCTATTTGGTATTGTTGAGTTCTCGATTGATCGTTGGATCTTCTCAATAATTTGATATGAGGCGTTTGACGTCTTGGCTTTGGGCAATGTGCTAACAAGCAGAGTACTAAAAAGATAGTGATACTTGGTATGATTAAAATTATCCTGGATTGGGGTATGAATTTTTGTCCTTATGGGTGAGATGTTGCACGTACAGATTCAACTTGAAATATCTAACTTACGACACGGACAAATAATACCCTTCGTGTAGTCCTGATGCTTTTTGACTCCGTCCGTCATTTCATTACTTGTATAAGATTTAGATTTTTTATTTTTATCATGCAATCATCAATGCAAGAAAAGTGACAAAAGTGTATAACGGCATTGGAAAAAAAGTAAATATACACATAAGAGAAAACTTCAGAGATTCATTGCAATCGATAAGGGGACGCAAAGCACTGTAATAGTCTTTGGGTAGCGGCACCTGTTGGCTGATTAATTTAGAGGAAAATGACCAAACATATACTAGTTTAATAATTTAAGTATCCCAAAATGAAAATCATAAAATATCACTAGAGTAATAAATGACGCAGCAGCGCCCACGTAGTTTAACTGTGCGTTCATGAACCGTAACAAAAATTTCTCATCAATATGAAAAAGCAGAATAAAAATGCGACTCGTTGTCAATAGCAAACTCAAGCTGGACTTGATAACTGTGGTAGGTTAGATGTGAACTTCAATTACAAATGTGCATTACCACTTCTATATATATTTATTTTTTGTATAGCATTTTCAAAATGGACTTGTGATCTCCATTCTGATTTTGCCTTCTTTTCATAGTAAACTCACAAAGGAATGCAATCAAAAGCAAGGCGAGAAATTGTTCTCTATGTATATTGTCTGCGGCTCTACGTGACATATCGAACATTTCCTCACCACCCGTTACGAGCACGCTCCTTGCTTTACGACAATTAGGTAATTTGCAAAAATCGTGCTTAGCAAAACAGTGCAAATGTTAAATATAATTTGTTGTGCCAGTCTATGTAACCAAGTATACACATTTGGCAACAAATGTATATATATTGGGAGTCGACGCTGGCCTTTATTAGCGTGGTTGGATAGAATATGTGAATATGGTGTGAAAACATTAAAGCATCGATCAATTGCTGCTCGGTGTCTGATGTTGACAACCGTATACAAAGGTTTGTTTATACAGACCCCAGCAGAAATCATATATCTAAAAGTAACCTTGCTGGAAAGGTCAGTATTTGTTGATCTAGATTCTAGGGCATTGTTGTAATGTTTGAATAAATTTTTAGTCAGTCATTTTTATGCTGATTGCTAGTATTTTGCACGGTTTATTCTTTAATATTTCTAATAATAAGCCTGGCCTCACATTTTTTGAATTTATACATGACAGATTAATCTCAAAGAGTCCACTACATAAAATATTTACTTTGATTGACTCAACAATCTTCGCGTCATTAAGGACGTTTGCAGATTAGTCAGTACGTCAACGAATTTTTCCATACTTCTTTAATTTACACTCGCATAATACTGATGTGCACAAGTTTTCATTGTATTTTTCCTAGTATATTCATATTCTGCATTGACCTGTAGCGTTTTGAATCGATAATCATTTATGAAATAATGCTAGTAAATTGAGCAATAAAATGCGCCAAATAAAGGTTGTTCGAATTCGAAGCCGTTTCTTTAGGATAATTTAACACACGCATGCAGAAAATAAATAAAATTATGTCAAACAAGCTCTCGAACATGACGGAAATGGCAATGCCGAACACGATGCGTGGATACATTCATCCTTAATTGTTACGCGGATCATAATCAGCGAGAATTGCTTTTTTTGATCTTTGTACACGCACCCGCATGATGGAGAGAATGTGATATCCGGGAAATCATTTTGTTCCAATCAAAATTTTATATGACGTGCTACATGAAAGAAAAGATCTGAATATTCTTCTCCCCGCTATAACATTTGACTTCAATGTCGCAGAATCACCTGTAAATACGTTGCCAGCTACGCGCGATGATGAAACCTTCAACAACTTGCTTCCAAGAGCAGAAAATAATTTCGACGAACCGATGATTAGCAGAATCAATGTCCATGCTGATTTTCCTCGCAC